CTGCTGTCCGACAGATTCCCCATGCCGAAGTATCCCTGCTTGGCATCTTCCCGCTGAAGCATCACCCTGTGCTGTTCCCACCCCGCAGTGCTGGGGTACAGGGCAGTTGCACATGGTCCCATTGGGTAGGAAGAGAAGCTCTGAGTGAGGCAGCAGAAGGGGGGGCTCCAGGGAGCAGGGTCTAAAGCCAGAATCTCCCACCCCTTGGAGCGGTGACATAATTGATCCCAGGGCATCCGTTTTTGGTCGAGGCACCTCCCCAGTGCAAGGACAGAGCCGGGCTGAGAGGCAGAGCAAAGCAGAGGAAAAGCCTAGCGGTTAGTGTGTGTGTGTGGGGGGGGGCTGGGGCTTTGGCATTAGAGGGTCCACCTCTAATTTCCACCTCTGCCACAGACTCTGTGTGCGACCTGGGACATGTCACTTAGCTTCTCAGTGCTTTGGTTTCCCTGTCTGTGACATGGCCCTGCCTTGCAGCAGTGCTGGGGGGATAGATATGCTAACGATTGTTTTTTGTTTTGTCAAAAAACTGAGCAAATGTTTGTTTTTTCAACAATTGTAAAATTTCAGCCCATAATCCAACATTTTTGTGGGTTTGGCTGGAAATTATATTGGTTTTTCAACTAACCTGTGCACTCGGGATGTTCGGATGTGCTGCCTAGCCTTGTATCTCCTCTCTAGAAGTGAGTGGGTGCCTCAGGGGCAGGTGTAACTCTCCGCAGATGGTGCGAGATTGTGCAGTGCTGTGTTGTAAAAATAGAGATTTCTTCCTGACCTCACCTGGTGGCTCATGCCCCGAAGCATCTGTAGTGTTGAGATCTGGTGGTTCTTTTTAATATGAAACAAAACTCTGCTGGGTTGTCCCTTTATAATGCTGCTAGCAGTGATCCAGAGTGCTGGCCTCTTGGCTTTTGTCACTTTTCACCATGACCTCAGAGAGGGTCCATCTATACCCTAGGTGCAACAGTGCCAGGAGAACTAATTTTGTTTTGCAGTGTAGATTGGCTCCTGCCGTGTCATATAAATTGCATTAAGACCTTGGACTCCTCCCCTCCCGTGCCAGGTGGAGACCTCTGTTTTATGCTGCAAGGTCAGTCTTTGTTCCAAGTCCTCTGGGTTTGTAATGTATACAGGGCAGCAGTGAGATGTTGGCATAGTTACCCAGCCACTCGCTGCCTGGAGCCATCCATAACTGCGTGGTCACCCCGTCCCACTGGTGATCATAGAACTTTTCTGCAGCCCCTAGAGCAATTGCCAGCCAAAGTATTGAACATAAAATAACTTGGGCACTTTTGAATGTTGCTTAGAAGGTGGAGACAAGGACAAAGAACTGAAACTGGCTTCCCTTGGGTCACACACTGGCCTGGACTCGGGAGGCTTGAGCTTTATCCCAGCTCTGCCACTGGTCTGCTGGATGACCAGTCGCTTGCCTGCTCTGTGCCTCAGTTTCCCCATCTATAAACTGGGGATAGTGGATGCTGCCGTCCTTTGTAAAGCGCTGTGAGATCTGCTGATGCGGAATGCTGGCGTAAGAGCTGGATATTATGATGATTGTTCTTTGACTAGGCTCCTAGAAAGCATTTGGGCAATCCTCCGTAGGAAAAACCTGACACCACCTGTCCCCAGAGAGGAAGCAGGCAGATGCCAATTAAGCAGGGGCTGCAGAACAGACAAATGTGTCACCCTCTCAGAGCATTCGCGCAACGTGCAGCTGTGTGTGAGAGCCAAGGGGACTGGCACTACACAATGGAGATGCTTATCGGCCAGCACAGGGTAGCACCTTTTGTTCTTGCATCTGTCCTGTCTCTGGATGTGGTCATCTCAGGACTATCAAGCTAAGCAGGTGCTGGCTGGCGAGGTCTTGGATGGAGACTGCTGTGAATATCACCACGTGGTATATGTGCATTCTCCCCTCTGAATCGGTGCTAGAGGGTGCCATGGAGTGGGGTGGGTGACCCCCTCTGAGCTACTATTGAGCTTTCTGCTCTCTACTGGATGGCATCTGAACTGCTCAGCGGCGTGTCATAAGCACTATACAGCTAGCAGGGATCCTCCTTTAATGCTGTGTCCCATGCTTTTGGATCAGGAGGATCCAAGTTCTGTCTGCAGCATTACCAGGAAGCTCTGGTGGACAACAGTGGATGGAATCACATATCTGACAGATGCAGGGATTATTTTCTCCATAAATCATTGGGGTCTTTTGTCCATTATTCTTTCCATGATGTCATAGGTGCCTATCCATCTGCTGAAGTAGATTTAGGAGGCAGATGCTGCTGTTGGTGATGCCGATAAGGCCTGAACTTATCAGACCCAGGAGAACAATGAGAATCTAACCTTTTCATTTCACTCTGTCTGGCCAGCACCGGTCAGTTTCACTTCCTCTGTAGTCATTTTCACTTTCTGGATTGGCCAATGCTAGCCACAAAGCACTTGTGTTCCAGGGTTATGAGAATTATAACCTTTTGATATCACATGCTTTTTTTGGTGGTGCGGGGGTGGGCTCTCTGTCGGGAACCCCCTTGCTCAAACGACACCACGTTTGGGCCACTGATCCTTCCCCAGACCCCTATGAGGTACAGTGATGTTGAAGACCATTCAAGTCAGTATGTGAATTTAAGAGCACTTAGAAAAACCGACCGTCGACTGGTAACTGATTCTCAGCCTTACCTACAGCAGAGCCGCTCCTCCGCTATTGTCAGGAAGGTTCTCGCTGCTTGGGTCCGAACACTTTTGAGTAACTGGGCCCAGGTTTGGATAGGAGACCCGGTGGACGATCGGCGTCTGGTGCCAAAAAGCTTTTGCAGCTAGGCTGAGGCTTGGCTAGAACCTGCCCTTCCTTACGCTGTCTTAACCCCAGTTAATTTCAGGGGAGCTAATCCTGGTTTACCCCCGTATAAGAAAAGGGATGCTCCAATCCAAGTGCCTGGGGTTGCTGAACAAGCAGCTGAACTGCTGCAGTGGGTAGAGAACATTTGGCTCTGTATAGCAGCTTTGTTTGCATAGATCTCCAAAGCACCAAGCTGGTCTCGTCACCCTGTTCTCCAGATCGGGGGGAACAAGGCACAGAGATGGCAAGTGACTTGCCTGAGGTCACCCAGGAGGTCAGTGTCAGAGATGAGTCCCAGCCTATTGTCCACTCCACTGGATGAAGGGGAGGGCACCCTTGGGTTTGCTCAGCGGTATTTCATTGTTCCCGTCCTCCAGGGGTGAGGGGAGGGGGTGTTGGAAAGAGTCCATAGCTGCCAGACTTGGCTGTGAGGCTGTCTGTTGTCTGGTTCCTGATCGGGGCCTGGGAAACACAGACACTGGTGAGGTGTTTGGAGAAGCAGAAGTAAATGAAACCTTCGGGCGGTCGCGCGGTTTGACGGGTCACTGGGAGGGTTGTGTCAATGGAGTGAGGGCTGGGTGTGGGGCCGCAGGGCTCAGCTGCCTGACTGTGTTGTTGACACACCAGATTTATGGGCCTGTCACCAGAGCGCCCAAGCCCTGTTAACATCAGTGAGTTTAGCTTCACAACCCCTTATAGAGATGGGGAAACTGAGCAAGGAGGGAAAGGGACTCCCCCCAAATTGTCACCAGTAGAGTTGGGAATAAAACCCAGGAGTCCTGACTCCCAGCCCCCGCCCATCTCTAACTGCTAGACCTCACTCCCCTTCCAGAGCTGGGAATGGAATCCAGGAGTCCTATCTGTTGCCTTAGGCACTTTGCCATTCCCGAGAGAAAGGTTGGCCATCAGCTGGTTAGAGGTTGCAATACCAGGTGGTAGCAGGTCACGTGGGAAAGGTGCCTGAGTGGCCTGGATGTGGGGGCTGTAATTAGCATGAGGGGCATGTGGGGGGGTGGCAGGACATTGTAGCATTGTGATCTCTGGGGCATGGGCAAGCAGGCCGTTGTCTGTTTCCTCCCAAACATCCCTGGTTCCCTGTGTCTCTGTCCTATCTCCCTGGTTCTGGGATTCAGGATGCATTAGGGACGGGATCCTCTGGCAGGCCCTGCTGAGGAGTGGAGCTTGGATACTTGGCAGGCCGTGGTCTCTGGTGTTCAGTTCGAGTTTATTGTCCAGCTGATCTGGAAGATCTTTGAAGCCTGCTGGCTTGTAATTTCAGGGGAAGAAATCTATTTAAAAATCAATCCAGAGCCAATAGCTCGTCCCATTTCCAAACCTTTCCCCCCAGGCCCGCCCCCAGCAGGAGCCGTGATTCACCTCACACGGGGCCCTTCGCCAGAGGGATTCAAAACAAGAGTGTAATTGCTGTCGCAAAAACTGCACAGGGGGTGACTTCTCGGGGGTCGGTGCTGCAGGCACCCTGAGCAGGGGGTGGGGATTAAGGACTTAGTCTGAGACTACAGAGAGCACTATGTGGGCCCTTCCCAGTTCCTGGGGCCATTTAGCGCAGCCTCAGGGCTGCTCTAGCTTATGCCCTGTTCTGTATGGGTCCTGGGAAGCATAGGATACCCATAGTGCAGTGCAGTGGGGCTGGGAGCAGCATCCTTCAGCCAGCTCCCTGCTGCCTGGGGAGCCCCTGCACAGGAGGATTCTCAGTCCCCCTTCTGCTGCCAGAGCAGCCTGGGGGGGAGCCTTGGTGAAACAGGCCCTAGGGGTGTAGCGATGAAGGCCGATCCTGCAAGCTGATCCGCAAAGCCCCAATGATGTCGTTTGGGCCTTTGTCCAGGCTGCATGGACCAGCTAAGGGCCAAAAAGTGGCTGTGTGCTACCCCCTTCTCCCCCCGCCCCCTCCCCGCCCTGCCCGATGAACCTTAGCAGCTCCAACACACCTTGGGTTGATTCCTTCCCCTACGTCAGCGCCCCCATTCAGTCAGGCCCCTCCAGCAGCTTCACTGGGCCTTAAAGCTGGTGACTTCACCTCTGGGAAGTTGTAAAAGGGGTTTTAATGCAACTGAGACTCCAGCCCCACTGAGCTCAGAGCAGCGATCAGTCAGAGGAGAAGTGGTCCCATTGGAAGATCCGAGGGTGGACAAATGGAGCTGCCCCCCCCCCCCCGCCTCCCAGGGATTTTAATTCCTTCTCCCCCACTGACTAAATTCCTCAGCAGCTCAGCTGTGACCCGGCAGAGTAATCTCCCTTGTAATCGCTCTCCAGAGTCTCCCGGGCTTTGCTTTCCGGCCGTCTTGTTGCGCATCGAGTCTCTGTCTCATCTCCACTTCTGATTTCGTTTCACGCGGGCCCCCTCCATAGCCTGGGGGGCTGGAGAGGAGCAGGGGGAGCGAAGGGTTAAAGGGCACCCGGCCCTCCGGAGTGGGAGTGAAGGTCACCGGCGAAATGAGTTTCCGTGGCCTCGGCTGGAGATGTGGATGCAGGCGGCAGGTTATTTGGTGGTGTGTGTTCAGGGCTGGGATCGCAGGGTTGGGATTGAGGGGCATCAGCAGAGGGGTGTGTGCGTGTGTGTGTTCAGAGTTTGGATAGAAGAGGGGGCTGCAGGTTGGGATTAAGGGGCATTAGAAAAGCTGGGGGGACCTCAGGGCTGAATGGGCGGGGGGGGGTGCTGTGAGTCAGGCTTGAGGGGTATTCGCATCCCCACGTTCTGCTTTTCTCTGGCAGGTGACCCTAAGCACCACTGCTCACAGCCAGGCTCAGTCCATGCCGGCAGGGCCGGGCCCCGCCCTCAGCACCACATCTCTTCCCAGCTAAGCCGTGCCCTTCGTTTGTCTTTGCAGCTGATGGCTGAGGATGGCGGGGTCGTGGGCCTTGCCAATGGGGGGGCCGGGAGCCCCTTTGACACCATCAAGGTGAGAGTTGACCCTGGTGATTGGTGGCTGGGATCTGCTCTCTCCTTGGGTTATTGAGGGGCCGGGGGTCCTGGCTTGGGTGCATGATGCTCCGCAAACCTGTTCTGGCTGTTCCAGCTGAGCTTTCTCCCCCTCTGTTTTCCCATCTGGGGATGGCAGGGTAGTGGTGGGGTCTCTTTTGTTCTCACCTCCTGGGAACAGCCCCCTTCCAGAAACCATTCAGTCCTGCAGAGCTCTGGGACCCAGTAATCTCCTGTGGCAGCAAGTTCCACCAGTTAATTTTGCATTTTTTAAAAAGTTTACTTTTAAATGTATCTGACGTGCTTATCTGGGCCCTATTACTGCAGCATCTGAGCAGCTCCCAATCATTAATGTATATAGTCTTGAGGCAGGGCAACTATACCCAGTGTATAGGTGGGGAAACTGAGGCACAGCAGCTAAGTGACTCAGCCAAGGTCACACACAGAGTCTGTGGCAGAGTAAGGAGTTGAACCCAGGTCTCCCAAGCCCCTGCTTAGTTGCCTAGCCACTGGACTAACCTCTTGGCTGCCTTTCGCCTCTATCAACTTTCCTTCAGTCCCTGCAGCCCAGCTCCCGGCTCACCCCTCTGTGGACCAGCTCGTTGGCTCTAATGAGGCTTACCAGGGAGGCTGCTAAGGGGCAGGTCTGGTGAATAGTACTGCGCTGTTCTATAAACAGGGATTAACGGTGCATGGCTTTGTATCCAGGTGAGAGCTGGGTGGTCCAGAGCCTTGAACCCAGGCAGGGGAGAAGGCAGCTGGTAGCAGAAGGTTCTCTTATCTGCCAGGTGGTGGCAGAACAAGTGGCTGGAAATTGACCCAAAGTGGAAGTAAGGGGCAAGTTTCTAATGCTGGTTCAGGCTCCTCCCGGACGTGGCGGGTTCTCCGTCATGAGGAGTCGGTGGCTTCCAAGCCTTGCCCATCTGAGGGCAGCAGGGTGGCCTGGGCTGCTCTTCTCTGCTCGGTGGCGCCCCATGCAATGGGCAGGAGCTCACTGGCTCCTGGCTGGCAGCCTCGACAGAAGTACCCCAGAAGTAGCTGCACTGCAAACATCCCATATACTGGTTACCGCTGAAGAGCTGATATTTGCCAGTAGAGACCACAGTGCTGCCCTATCCTAAGTCCTGGGGGGAGCGTAGCATGGAGGTACCCATGTGGGCTAACTGTCAGCGCTCTCCAACGTCAGTCACTGTCTGAGGAATTCTTCCAGCTCCTCAGAGCTCTCGGTCTTTGAGGCCCCGTTTGGATGGAAGACGCTGCATAGCGGCAGCCTGCTAGTGTGGACAGAGGCCTGCCGGCTGAGGATGGCGTGTGGGAATGCGGGCCTGCCAGAGGAGTCTCCCCTTGGGGATCCCAGCTGGGTCCCTCTCCCCAGCTCTATTAGTCCCCAGGCGTGACCCGTGTGATGAAGTGACCCCTCCTGTGAACCTGTTGTGTTACTGTAGCAATGCAGGGCGGGAAACCCCTGCTGTTCCTCAGTGTACCTTAAAGGTGCGGCACCCCCAGGGTGACTGTGGCAGGGCTGATGTTAATCTCGGTAATGGGGGCTTTGCCCCCTCTCATCCAAGGGTCCCAAAGAGCTCTACAAACATTCACTCAGTTTCAGCCAGGAGACCCCCCCCCCCCCGCTGCCAGTATCCCCCTCCCCATGGGGAAGTGGGGTAGGGAAGTGATTTGCCCAGTGGCATGCAGGGAGTCAGTAGCAGAGCCAGGAAAGAACCCAGGAGTCCTGGCTCCTGGTTCTCAGCCTGTTCAGCCTTAAACACACAGCCAGGGTAAGAGAGCTGCCCCTGGGGTCTCCTGCTGAATTTCTGTACCCACTTGTGGCTGGCTCAGCGTGGATTGAACCGGTGACCTTCTGCAGCAAGGACAGGGCTCTCTGAGCTGAAGGAAGGGCTCCTCCTGCAGTGAGCAGCTGCCTCAGCCACCCCCAGGGGAGCCATGGTCCTGCTGGCTCAGCCGGGGTGCTGGGGGCGGGGGGGGTTGCATTCAGCCTCTTCTCTGCTGCCTTCTGCAGGAGACCAGCTGGCCAGAGGACGATGAGGTCTTTGTGCCGGAGCTGCTGAGCCCCACCGTCATGGCCACGTTCAGGCCTGGCAGCGTGGAGGAGCTGTACGAGCTGCTGGAGAAGCTGGGCAGGTGAGGCCCCGCAGGCCAGGCCGTCCCGGGGGAGGACGTCACCGGGGTGGCTGCGTTGCGTCCGTGCCGGTTCCTGGTCCGGCACCCTTTGCACACGCGCCCTGTTGCGGGGTGGTGGGAGGTGCCGCCGGAAACCTGGACGGGGCTCTGCGGGTGAGGGGGGAGAGCTCGGGTCGCTCCGGCTTCCTTCCTGCGGACGTGTCTCTCGCGTGCACGCAGACTGAGGGTGCTAAGGACGGGGTCTCTCCCCCCAGCTTGGAGCGGAACCACCACAGCAGGAAACTCCCCTCCCGCCCTTGTCAGATCCGCCCCCACAGGAAAGCCGCCCCCCCCTCCCCCCAGCTCAGGGCCTGTTGGCTCCCAGGCTCAGACTTTCCCTTCGGACCTTCTCCAGACAGGTTCCTCTGTGACCCGAGCAGCTAAAAGGGTCAAATGGCCTCACAAGGGTTTGCTCGAGTTGAGCCAGCATCAGCGATTGCCTAAAGCACCTTCTCTAGCCACTAGGCTCTCCTTCCGTCCCACGGCTGCAAGTAGAACCCAGGAGTCCTGGCCCCTCCCCTCCCCTCCCCTTCCCTTCCCTCACCGGGGATAGAACCCAGGAGTCCTGGCCCCTTCCCTTCCCTCACTGGGGATAGATCCCAGGAGTCTCATAGACTTTAAGGTCAGAAGGGACCATTATGATCATCTAGTCTGACCTCCTGCACGGCGCAGGCCACAGAATCTCACCCACCCACTCCTGTAACAAACCCCTGACCTATGTCTGATCAATTGAAGTCCTCAAATTGTGGTTTAAAGACTTCGAGGTGCAGAGAATCCTCCAGCAAGTGACCTGTGCCCCATGCTACAGAGGAAGGCGAAAAACCCCCCAGGGCCTCTTCCAATCTGCCCTGGAGGAAAATTCCTTCCCGACCCCAAATATGGCAATCAGCTAAACCCTGAGCATGTGGGCAAGAGTCCTGGCTCCTCCCCTTCCCTCCCCTCACTGGGAATAGAACCCAGGAGTCCTGGCTCCCACTTCTCTGTGCTAGACCTACTGCACTCCCGCCTAAAGCTGCGGGGGAGGGGAAAAAATCCCAGGAGGTCTGACTTCCCCGCACCACTCCTTTCCCTAACTGGGACTAGAACCCAGGAGTTCTGCCACCCGTTCCTGTGTGTGGATCACGCTACCTCCGATAGACCATGTCAGAGCTTGCATGTGGCTCCCCCCGACACCTGGATGGCATTAGCGTGCGGCAGGGAGCGCGTGTCGTTGGCCAAGCCCCGGAGGAATTGTTAGCGTGGCCGGTGCAGCGAAGGGAAATGTAGCGATGTGATACACCAGGACGGCCGGGGGTTTATGGAGCTGTATATTTCCCGGTTTCCTGTGTGCGCGGCCACGCTCGGGGCAGGCCAGTGCTCTCCGGACGCTGAACGTACATGCCACTCGGGAGGGAGTTTTATGGCTCACGCCTTGCAGAGGTCCCATGCCACGGAGCCGGAGCCAGATCTCGCCCCCGGCATGGCTGTGCAGGGCGTCAGCCGGTGTCCGGACTGGCCCCTGCTCTGTCAGGCCAGGCTGTTCCCATCACACACTCTGATTTGGCTTCTTCCCCCTTGCGATGTTTTCCCATCACTAAGGACACTTTCGTGAAAACACGATCGCTGACATCTCAATAGTTCATTGGCTGCTGCTTCTGAGAGAGTGGGGTCTAGGAGTTAGAACAAGGGACTGGGGATCAGGACACCTGGGTTCTGCTCCCAGCTCTGAGGGGAGTGGGGTCTGGTGGCTGTGGGGAGGGGGCTGGGAGTCAGGACTCCTGGGTTCTATTCCCAGCTCTGGGAGGTGAGTGGGGTCTGGGGGTTAGCGTGGGGTGGGGCTGGGAGTCCGGACTCCTGGGTTCTATTCCCAGCTCTGAGGAGGGGAGTGGGGTCTGGTGGCTGCAGGGAGGGGGCTAGGAGTCCGGACTCCTGGGTTCTGTTCCCAGCTCTGGGAAGGGAGTAGGGGGAGGGGGCACTGCTTACCCATTCTGATGTCCACTGCCCAACTCCTGCCCCCCACACCCCACTCTGACTGCTCCAGCTCCCCCACCAGGGTGTCTCTTCACCTTGTCCCCGCAGCGGGCACTTCGGGGTGGTGAAGCGCTGCCGGAAGCGGAGCTCGGGGACTTTATATGCCGCCAAGTTTGTGAAGGTGCGCAAGTGCAAGGGCAGCCGGCTGGGGCTGGACCGCGAGCAGGTGGAGAGGGAGGTCAGCATCCTGCAGCAGCTGGAGCACCCCAACATCCTGCGTTTGTACGACCTCTTCGCCAGCAAGGCCGAGATGGTGCTGATCCTGGAGCTGTGAGTGGGTGGGGTGGGGGACAGGGCACGGGGGCTCCCTCTCACCCTACTGTAATAACGCTCCGTGTTTATAGCGTGCCTCGCCTGCTCCCTGCTGGGGGATCGTCCCCATTGCACCCATGGGGAAACTGAGGCACAGAGACACTGACAAGACTTTCACCGAGGTCATTCAGTGACACAACTGGGAAAGAACCCAGGAGTCCTGGCTGCCAGTCCCCACTGCTCTAACCACCAGCTCTCACTCTTTGCCTGCCTGGAAACAGCTCCTCCAGTCCCCAAGCGTGTCGTACCTGGGCTCTGAGCTCTGTGCCAGCTCCCCGTGGGTGAGTCAAGGTGTCTGTGATGAGTTTCGAAGCCCCAGATGGCACGAGATTGCCTTGATCCGCCCTGCACGCAGCAGCTACAGTCCCCTGGCACGGTGGAGCCATGGGTTCCTGGCCGTGAGTGCTCTGGGATGGGCAGCTGAGGGTTTGAAATCTTGAGCTCTCCCCTGTGGATGGCACCTCTCTGGTGTGAGGACCATGGATTTGGCTTCGGGTCTGCTTAGCTCTTTGAGCTTGGGTGGATGAAATATATATTTTTTTCATCCAGGCAAATCTCGTTTAGATCCTGCAGTTAATGGGCCTGATTCTCCATTGGCCTGCACCTTGTGCTGGCAAAGTGGGTGCCATGGTAACCTTTCACCATCCTCCCGTAACTGCACAAGGCAACCAGGACCCTACGTGATCTATGCTTGTATATGTGTCTGTACGCCCACCTCTGTCTGCCTCGTGCGTATGAGATGATGATCTGTCTGGATAGTGCCTCCTGTCTATAGGCTTCTACACGATGGCTGTACAGGGGGTCGCTTTCCTGCCCTCACTGAAATGCAGCCACTTCTTAGGTGGAACACTGCAGCTGATTAACAGCAGCATTGAGCAGGGAGCACACGTCCCGCTCTGAAACTCAGCCACCTCTGAGGAGGAATGTGGTGGCTGTAATGGACAGGAACTGCAGAATGGAATTGGGGCAGAGTGGTCAAGTGGGTCGCGGACAGGTCTGTAAGTCAGAACTCCTGGGTTCTAGTCCCCACACTGCCCTATCCTGCTCTGTGACTCCAGGACAAATCACTCCCCCCTTTGTGCCTCAGTTTCCCGAGGGGGGATGTGGTACTGACCCCACCGATGCCAGGGTCCAATGGAGTGCCAGGTGTTTACACCACACCTGTTCTAGCATGAGCTTGCTGCTGTCCCTGCCCCTCAGTACAGCGTGGCTCCGGCCACTCCCCAGGCCCTGCCAAAAGTGGGAGCAGGATTGGGCTCTCTGATGTCTCTCTGCCTCACCCGCTCTCCCTCTCTGCTCTCAGGATCCGCGGTGGGGAGCTCTTTGACTTCATTGCCGAGAAGGAGATGCTGATGGAGGCGGAGGCCATCGAGTTCCTGCAGCAGATCCTGCAGGCTGTTGCCTACATGCATGGGCGGCACATTGCCCACTTCGACCTCAAGGTGCCCAGCCCCCTCCCTTCCCAGCACAGGAACTGCCTTTGGCCCCTTAGCTGTTGATTCTCAGTCCCTCCTGGCTCTTGCCCTGCAGGTGGGAGCGGGTTGGAGACGGGCAGGAGGGGGCCAAATGCCCTTTGTAGCTTTGCAAGGCCTTGCCTGGTTCTCAATGTAAATCAGAGCAGCCTCAAGGCTGCTGTAACTCACACTCTCCTGCCTACGGAGCAGCAAATTCCCATAATGCAGCTTGCTCCAGCCATGCCTCCAATCCAACCCCATTCTGGGGACTGGGCCAGTGCAGGGCCCGTTACACCAGCTCCACCCCAGCCAAGGAAGCCCCGTTCATGGGGGCGGGGAGGGGTTGTCAGGGGGCTACTTCCACCCACTTCAAGGCCTCAGAGCAGCCTCAGAGACCCAGGCCCATGGTGCACAGCCTGTGGCTTTTCCCATCTCCAAGGGGGTCCGGGATGGACCCACGCATGTGGGTTGGACCCATTGCAGAGCCCGCTCTCCTCTCAGGCTGCCTCCTGCCCATCCCATCTCCTCTCCCCTCCCTCCGCTCTCTTCTCACCGAACTCCTAGCACGGCCACTGAGGTTACACTGACACCTGCTGGCCAGCAGTAACTCTGCAGGCTCAGCACAGTTTCTTACACCTGCCGTCCCGTCCCCCCCCCGAGCTGGAAAGCAGCTGTAGAAATTAGATAACCCCTATGCTCCGGGGCAGGGAGATGGGGCCAGGGCTCTGGGCTAAAATGCAGCCCAGACAGTGGGGCTGTTCTCCCTGGCTGCATGGATCTCCCACTTCCATGCTCGGATCTCAGCCTCGCCTGGCGGGAGTCTCGGAAAGAACTCACCTGGGAAACCCTGCGGCCTTCTGCGTTCCCACCTTGATCCCTGCTGGCTCCCCTCCAGTCACAAGCCTCCAATCACCACACAACTATTCCAACCTCCCCTACCGCCGCAACCCAGCAGTGGGCACGGGGGAGGCCGTGGGGCACGAGGCCTGCTGTGCAAGTCGACCCTGTAAGCCCCGATGCCCCTTATGTCTGTCTGCACCAGTGCAAAGTGGGTGTGAGATGCTGCCCATCCCGCTCTGATCGTGTTCCCGCGCTTGCTTTGCACTGGTGTCAGTGACCACGTGGGGTGAGGGAGAACTGGGCTCATGGTGTCTCCCACCCCTCCCCCACAGCCGGAGAATATCATGCTGCTGGAGAAAGATGTCCCCAACCCGAAAATCAAGATAATCGATTTTGGTCTGGCCCAAAAGCTGGAAGACGGAGTAACCTTCAAAAGCCTTTGTGGGACTCCGCAGTACGTAGGTAAACAGCTGAACATGAATGATCTGCTGGGACAGTGGCCAGGAGCCTGTGGGACTCCTTGGCATAGTAGTCTATTGAGGTTAACCTGTGGAACTCTCTGCCACAGGATATTGTTGAGTCTCATGGTGAGGGCCCTACCAAATTCACAGTTCATTATGGTCAATTTCATGGTTATAGGATTTTTAAAAAATCCGAAATTTCATGATTTCAGCTATTTAAATCTGAAATTTCATGGTGTTGTAATTGTAGGGGTCCTGACCCAAAAAGGAGTTGTGGGGGGGGCGGGGTCACAAGCTTATTGTAGGTGGGGGGGGAGGTTGTGTTACTGCTACCCTTACTTCTGCGTGGCTGCTGGTGGCGTCTGTCTTCGGAGCGGGGCAGCTGAAGAGTGGCGGCTGCAGGCCGGGAGCCCAGCTCTGAAGGCAGCCCCATCGCCAGCCGCAGCGCAGAAGTAAGATGGCCTGGTAGGGCATTGCCCCCCTTCCTTCAGTGCTGCTGCTGGTGGGGTGCTGCCTTCAGAGCTGGGTGCCCGGGCAACGGTCGCTGCTCTTCGGCTACCCAGCTCTGAAGGCAATACCACGACCCCCCCCCGGAAATAGCCTTGCGACCCTCTTGCAACTCCCTTTTGGGTCAGGACCCCCAGTTTGAGAAACGCTGGTCTCCCCCCGTGAAATCTGTATAGTCTAGGGTAAAAGCACACAAAAGACCAGATTTCATGGGGGGGAACCAGATTTCACGGTGCATGACGCGTTTTTTTCATGGCTGTGAATTTGGTAGGGCCCTACGCATTCTGTAGCAAGATTCCTGAAAGCCTGAGGTGGGGACCTGAAGAATAATCTAGTGTGTTTCTGCAGCGCCTTTCATCCCCAAGCGCTTGGGAATACTCGATAGCAAGGAATTGCCCCCGCATCTAAAATGGAGCCACCTCTGGGGCAGAACACAGTAGCTACTTCGAGGAACGTACAGACACTTTAGGACGGGAAGTGAAGGAGACTCTTGTTTCCTGCCAACCTGCGGGGGGGGGGGGTGGACTGTAAGGAGGCAGAAGGCAGTAACCAGAGTTTTGGGGGCAGGGGAGATGTGGCTCTGAATGGCCCTTCCCTCCCCAAAGAACCAGGGGATCTTAATGACCGCCCATGGCTTGGACTCTGGGTTCCTGGCCTGTCTGAAAGAGCAGCCCAGTATCCCCTAGCACCACTCAGAAGCAGTGGGAATGGCTGGATTTTAGAGATGGAAACCCAACGTGGTGAGGGGCGTCTAGGCTGACCCTGCGGTTGTATATAGAGAGGTCATTTCTGCTTTGACTTGCTGTACATCTCGTGTCCCATGGGGGCGAAAGGAGTCGAGCAGTGGATACAAAGTGACTATTCTGTATTTCTATTTTTTTTTCTCCTGCAAGCTCCCGAAGTCATTAACTATGAGCCCCTGAGCTCGGCGACAGACATGTGGTAAGGACGGGGAGCCTGCGTGGTGCCCCTCATTAAAGTCGTGGCTCGGGCTCCGGGTATAATGTGAGCTGTGGTCGGCTCGGCCAAGTTCTCAGCCTCACCCAGGCAGTATTCCAGGGTCCGTTGGCTTTGTTTTGAACACGCCGCGTGCCTCTGGGGGACCATTCCCTGGCCTCTTGCATCCGACTGAAGAGCCACAAAAATGATGACTGTGAGCGTCTTAAGGAGCTCAGTCCGCTCAGCTCTTCAGAGCGATGATTGCGAGGTGACTGGTGTTTGAAGTACCGTCGGGGGGAGAAAACACCACCACCTCTTTGCTTTCTGACTTTCCTCCCATTTGTCGTCCTGCTTAAGAAAGAGTTTCTGCTGTCCTGTCCAGGAGCACGTGGGCCGTGCAATCCGGGGTGCCAGGAATAGTGGAAGCGAGCAATGGGCTAACACGTCATAGAGTGGAAAACTGCTCAGTGAAAGGGAGGGAGTGACGCTGGATCAGCAGGATTTGGGATAAGGGTCGAGAGCAAAAAAGGGTGAAATTTACCCTGCTCTGCTATTTATTTACCAGGATCCCCTCCTTGATTTCTACAAATGTAACCTGTGTGTACTGATTGTCCGCAGGCCTCGGGCCAGCTAACCTAGAACGTGTCTTTGTTTATTTCAGGAGCATCGGCGTTATTACCTATATCTTGTAAGTACCCGACGTCTTGGGTGTCTCTTCTTGTCTGACCCTCCTGTCTTTAGCCCTTGCTTTGGGTTTTTAATCCAGAGACCACCCCCAAGTGCATCACTGGAGGTCAATATCATTGTACAGAGTGGGGAAACTGAGGCACAGAGCAGGGTCACAGCTTCCCCAGGGGCTCTGCAGCAGGGCCAGGAAGAGAACCCAGGTTTCCGGAGAGCCAGGCCTGCACCCTAACCAGTGGACCCTACTGCCTGCCCCGCAATTGCTCACAGCAGAGCAAGCTGAGCTCCAATCGTGGGAGCGCGCCCCTTCTCTGAGTGATGGGATTGGGATGCTCAGCTGCTCAGCACTTGGATACCTCTGCCTGGGACGTGTACTTAGGTTAATTGGGCTTGACTCTTGTTGACATTATGGCCCCTTTACACTGCGCTGGCCTGGAAGTGACAGTAACTACCTCCCCCCGCTTTCAAAGTACTTTACACTGCTGCCGTGGTGCAAAGGAAAATCAGGCCCTTGGATTACAAACACCTTTGGGACATGGAGCATGTCTGCCTCTGTTTGTGCAGCACCTTGCACGCAGGGGCCCTGATGCTGGCCAGGGCTGGCTCCGGTCCTTGGCTGGTATCAGTCTGGGTCAGAGGACAGGTAGAAGGGGCCCTAAACCAACCGTTTGGGCAAGAACTCAGCAGTGAGGAGTGGACTGTAGGGGTGGGGAGGGTTTCATACCAGCTGAGGAGCAGGCCGGCCGTATGGTCCCTGTTGCCTGGCTCTCAATGTCCTCTGGCTGCGGTAGTCCATGGTCTCTGGACAAAGAGGCCGGGCTCCCGGCAGATGGGTGGACGTCACGGCCTTTGTAGGATGGGTGGGTCTCTCACCCTTCTCTGGCATGCCTCTGTGCATCAGAAAGGTCACATTGGGAGCCTGGAGCTGTCCCTGGTGGCTCCCCGTGGGGGTCAGGGGCCCATTGGACTCAGCGAGCTCTCAACAGATCCTTGTCTTCTGCAGGCTGAGCGGGATGTCCCCGTTCCAGGGCGAGACGGATGCCGAGACCCTCTCCAACGTCGTTGCTGGCAACTACGAGTTTGAGGAAAAATACTTCAGCGAGACCACCGATATGGCTAAGGACTTTATCCAGCAGCTGCTGGTGAAGGAGCCGGGGTAATGCCTGGCACCCGCCGCAGCCCGCTGGGCAGCAAGACCCTGAGGCTGGCACCTGCCAACCGTGGGCAGGGGGTTACCCTGGCAGAGTAGCTCAGAAAGCAGGAGCCCCTTAATCCCTCTGCTGGAGCAGGCCACGCGGGGTGACATTAACCTCTGGGTACAGCCAGCATAAAGCACCTGGCAGAGGGCTCAGGTGGGGGCCTCGTTCTGTCACATGGCACAGGCCAGCCGGACCGCGGCGGGACCACAACCTGTAAGCCACTGGGGGCCGGTCTGATAATCTGGGTGCCCTGGTGGCCCCAGAGAGGGGCTGGCATGCAAAGAGGGGACATGAGGGCATATTGAGGGGGGACGATTGAATCCTTTGCACTGCATGGGACATGGGTGGGCTGGGGAGATGGCTCTGGGGGGCGGGGAGCAGATTCCTGACATAGAAGGTTCTCGGCAGGGCAGGGAGCACTTAGTGGGTAAGCACCAGGAGGGGAAAGGGCCCGGGTTTCCCGGAGAGAAGGAGTGGGGAAAGGTTTTTCTTTTCTGGTGGGAAAGCAGCAAACGGGTCCCGTTCTCCCCGCTGCAGGAGTCGCATGAGCGCGGCCGAGAGCCTCGTCCACCCATGGATCAAGGTGAGGGGGCTGCTTGCGTTTCCAGATGGACCCAGGGGTGCGTGGGGAGGCGGGGACCGCCAGGCTAGCAAGCAGGGGGATGCCCACGGTGGCGTCCGGTGGGTCCTGCTGCAGCCTTGGGGGTCAGGGCAGCCACTCCTGGTAGCTTCGTTCTTCCCTGAGGGCCCAGGCTGGGGGGACGGCATGGAGCCTGGTGCGAAGCCAAAGACCGAGGGCAGGCTGCAGAGGCAACAGGCAGGTGCCTGGCAGGTGGAGAATTGCCCCCGGGCCATCGAATACGGAATGAGCCCTTAGTGGCAGGGAAGCCTTTGGACGGGGCTGTTTTCTGCACCATCAGGAGTCAGATCCCTGCGGGAAACGGGCTCCTATAGACGAATAACGACCTTCCAGGGCAGCTGGTGAAGAGAGAAGCTCCCTCTTTCCTCCCAGGCCCCTGCAGCTGCCAGGAGACCCCAGGGGTATGGGGAACCCTGGGCTCAGTTCCCTAGAGGAGCAGGAGGTGGCGACTGAGCTGAGCAGTGGAGCCCAGGGCCGGTTCTCAACTCCGCTGGGTGTTTGTGGGTGCAGGGGATTCTCCCTCTAAGGGTACCGTGGTCTGCCTGTGGGCACGAGCTGGGGCTTGGGGTGGCATGCTGGGGGTGACGGCTCACGTTTTTGCCCCCTGGCAGCCCCTGAGCCGGAAGCAGGCCACCAACCGCAGCCGCTCCTCCATCAACATAAAGAACTTCCGCAAGTTCAATGCCCGCAGGAAATGGAAGGTAAATTTGCCACGGCTCCTCTGGGGCACATCCACGGGGGCAGCAGGGGGCGCTCTCCCTTCCCAGGCAGGGCTAGCCCCAGTGCGGCTCTAGGGGGCGCTGTGCTGCAGGGAGCGGGGCGGGTGCCTCATGGGGGGTGCTCTCCCCTTGCAGTCAGTGCTGACCCAATACCCCAGGGAGCCCTTGGGGGCACTTGCCCCTTGCAGGTGCGACACTGGGGGAAGACCATTTTTTGTTCCATGGCTCTCTTTGAAACAACAGAGACATCAAGCCCCAAGCTCTGGCTACATCTCCCCGACCTAAAATCCCCTGGTTCATTTCAGCTGCGTGCAGGATCCCTCTTTGCTTCCTGTCCTAAACTTTTGAACAGCTGCTCCATTCCACCCCAGAGGTGGCTGCATTTTAGCGGCCGGGAAGAAATCCTTCAATGTGAAAGAGGCTGCATAACAGCAGGCTCGTTAATAGGGACCATCGCTCCTGTATATATGTGTGTGTGTGTGTGTGTGAGACCCCACCTAATATGTGGGTGTGGGGGCTCAAAAGGTCCTTAGCCTTAAGCTGCCCCATTGCATGTGTTTTTCCCTCCCGCAGCTCTCCTACAACATGGTGTCTGCCTGCAACCGGCTTGGCCACCTGAAGCTCTTGTGTGGCCAGAGGAAGGAGGATGAGACCCTGGTGAGGCCTTGTTGATTAGCTTGAGCACTCGCTCCCTGGGCAGGCAGCTCTTGGGGGAGAGTGCTGGGGACCTTTTGCTCCGGACTCACTGCTTAGGGGTTGGGGGAGTGATGGATGAATGGGCAGGGATGGGCTCTGGACTGGGATTGGTGGGATGGGTTACAAGTTGGGGTTAGCATCAGGGGTCACATGTTGAAGGGTTTGGGGTGGGGTTAGATGCTGGGGTGAGTGTTGGGGTGGGGTGAGGGGCCTGGGTAGCATTAATCATCTGGGTACCGAACCAACTTCACCTTCCTGGAGCTCTGGACACCCCTGGGGGTTTAGAGTCAGGGCTGATGCTGGCCGGCCAGCTGGCTAGTTAATGAAACACTTCGTGCCAGCCTTTCTGCTGCTTCTGGGTGCCCACGGCTGGCATAGACCTTGCCTGCCGTGCGCAGGATCTGCCTGGGGGCAGCCAGGGCAGGGCCGGGGTGTGTGTGTGTGTGTGTGAGAGAGCGCACCAGGGGGCCCGTGTGTGTGCGTGGGGGACCTGGGTGTGCATGGGGGGGGTCTGTGTGCATGGGAGCCTGGGTGTGCACCTGTATGCAGGTGTGTACACTTATATCACGTGCCCTCCATCCTATCCACCTCCCTGACCCTCTCTGGTGCTCCCCCCTTTTCCAGCGCGGCTGCGAGAGCGACCAGGAGGATGAGATCACCCGCCCGGTGACACTGTTGCGCCGGCAGAGAAGCAGCTGCTCTTGAGACCTGGCCCCCCAACCACAGACTCCAGCATGCTCCCACCGCCCCCTCCCCACCCTCTGCATCAGCTGGGGAGGGGCAGCTGCAGCCCCCAGAGGTGGGGAAGGGGGGACCTGTGCTCACGGCCCTGTGAGATCAGACACCCCGGCAGCTGGGCTCCATCCGCCGAGACCCGAACAGCAGGAAGGGGCATTGACTTTGGTGGGAGGGGGCTGGAAATGGGATCCTGCCTCTTCACCCCCCCACCCCCGCCCCATGTCCCTCTCTAGCCGGACACCCGAGGACGGGGAGTGGGCTGCAGATGGAGCTGGTGAAAGGGGAACATGTGTCAGTGGGTGAAGCTCGGGCGATGCCCGCAGCATCTTGGCACCCGGTCATCGTGCCTGTGGGGTGACGTATTGGGGGGTGGGAGAAGAGAGCCCTGCTATTAACCCTTTCATTACCCCATCCTTATTCAAACAGAGCCCCCCCCCACCCCTAGCATTAGGGCCTTTCAGGGTGCATTTTCTGCACCCCTCTTATGCTTTCCAATAGGACCCCCCCTGGTGTGGCTGTTCTGTCTGGCACTCGTGGGGTTAATTGGAATCTTCCCCCCCCCATCCCACTCACTTTCAGACGGTGTGTTCCGGAACTCATGGGGTTAATCCAAGTGTACCCCCCCACCCCACACTTGCCCCCAAAGCACTAGGGCCTCTGTTTATTTCAGCCCTCGTGGGGTTAATATGAGTCTCTTTCCATCCCCTGCACCTCGTTTTCTCCTTCCCACTCCGCTCCGCCTACTGACCCCCAGCAGTACCCTGGGTGGGGATGGACGGCGGCTCCGCATGCGAACGGCTGCCACGCGGTGCCAGGTGCCTTTACCCAGCTGTTGAGGGGCACCAGGGAGCCAGCTGGATGCCCCTTCCCCAGCACCCCACAAACACTTGCACGCTGGCCTAAGGCGCATGGCGGGCCAGACCCCCTCCCTCCCTGCCGGCTGTCCGGGGAAGATCTGCCCAGGTCATTCTCCCTCTGCCTGGTTTATTTTTAAAGAAATAAACGTGCCAAGCGTCTCCCCCTGGCTCCTGCCTGCTCCGGGTGCCTTTGCAATGTGGGTCTGACCCCCAAGGGGAAGCCGGCTCAGGAACCAGCCTGGCCTACCCACGCTCCACAGCCGTGGCTTGAATCATCCAAGCAGAGCCAGCTCCAGCCCCTGGGTGTCACTAAAGCTCAGCTCATGGCGCTGAGCGTCTCCGCAGCTGGATCTCTCGGGCAGGTCGGTAACTGGGCCCTCTGGGGTGCTGGCCCTGGGCTTGGTGCTGTTGAGGACCGAGCCCCACGGCTCTCCCTGCCCTAGGGCGCTGGCAGGCTAATGGCCTGCCAGGGTAGGAAGGAGTAGCGGTCAGACAACACCTGGCCAGGGCGTGTCCCTTAAAGGGACGTAACAGGTGCTGACTAAGCACCCTGAAGGCAGGGGCAGTCAATGCTTTTTGGTCAAGGTCCAGACTCCCGAGACCGCGGGAACAATAGGGAGGATAAGAGGCACCTATGGCCTCCCCGTGCCTTACAGGGACAGTTGGGGAGACGAAACCGAACCGTTGGCTGGGGAGCAGCGAACTGGTGTGGGTGAGCGCTCCGCCCTCTGTGGCTGCCCACACGGGAACGGGTGCAGAACTAGAAGGGGGACGGGGATGCAGCTGCTGACGAAGGTAGCGGCCACCGTTGCCAAGCCGGCCGCTCAGGTTTCTGATTGACTGCACAGCGCCCCGTGCAATGGGCACTGGTCCTATAATGCAAAATAATCTCAGGGGGGCCTTGGGAATTTAGAGCATGTCAGTGCAGCACTTTGCTCATGCAGGGAGGTTTTAACACCCCCCCCCCCTTCTTCATCACCTGCGGCAAATCCGCAGCCTGCAGGACCGGAGCGCACAGGGGTGTGGATCTGCCTGCTCTCGCCTGGGAGAAAGGTGACCGGTGGAAAAGCCCATTCCGTGAAACCACTGACTCAGAAAAGCAGTTGAGTTTGCCAAAAACCCTAGGTTGCTATGCTCCAGGAGAAAGGCAGGCCTGAGAGCTGGGGCTCTTTCTCCTTGCAAAGCAGCTGATCGGAGCAGCGGGGGTTTGTTTCGTTAAGCTGAAAGCCAGAGTCCCTATTTGTGCAGATCAAATGTGCCCAAAATTTGCGGCCAGGTATTTACTGCCCGTGCCATTAAAAGTGCCTTTAACAAAAGAGAGGTCGAAGCTGGGTCTATGGTAGACAGTTCCCCTGCTTGATCCATGCTGGAGGGATTCTCCACCCCCGCCCTGATCCACGGTGAGGCTGCAGGAATATGTTACTCCACTGTGGCTAAATCCCACAGCGTGGGGTGACTGACCGGGTGCAAAGAGATCACCCCAAATTACAGCAGCCACCCACCAGGCCAGCTTTTCTACCACTCCACTGCCCTTCCAGAACCCCTGCCCCAGCCTGAGAGCTCACTGTACCCCCTCCCTGCATCCCAGAAAGAAGAGGACGGGGGTAAGTGCTGCATTGCAAAGGGCCTGTCACCTCCGCTGCTTAGGAAGGGGACAAGGAGGCAGGAAGGAGCCATTGCTCCTGATCAGGCGGCTGCTCTTCACAGAGGTGAGGGGAGAGGAGCCAGTCTAGCTGGCTGGGGCAGGAGAAGATCTGGCCATTGCAGGCCCTGCTAGGGTCCAATACAACAGGAGTGGTTCAAAGGACCCCTGGTCCAGTTGTACCAAGCTGTTTGCTGGTTGTGTGGGCTATTTGGCTAAGACTCTCTGCAGGTACTTTCACCCAGGAGAGGGGGATTCTCTGCAAGAAGTTTGAAATGAGAGGCAGAAAAAAAAATCCCATTTGGCTTGAAATTTTCCCCCGAAATTTTGTGATTTTTGAAAAAATGTCCAGTGGCCTCTCTGCAATTGTGCCCACCCTGTGGCATTTGGGTGCTGATCCATAATGAAAGGTCACACCTCGTTCCCCCCAGCAACAGCACCCCAATCCTCCACCTGCTATCATGAAGCTCATGTTACAGCTGAGGAAACTGAGGCCCAGAGACTTGCTGGGGGGTTGTGCAGTTGATGGGTGGTGACTCCCAGGCTGCAACCCCGGCCTCGCAGTTAGCTGGAGCGTTTGGGGGAATCTCTCTTGCCTGGTCAATCTCTGGCTCCTTATTTCCCAAACAAGCTCCCCCCTCCTGGCCCCTCGCCCAACTCCATCTCGGTTCAGTTTTCAGGCTAAATATTTTGAATGTAGCAATCGAAAACAAAAGTGAACCTGGCCCAAGGCCCCTCGCGCCTGCTCGGAGCCTGGCAGCTCCCCCATGCCATCACCCTGCCTGCAACCCAGCCAGGGCAGCGGTGAAAGGAGGCAGGGCCCCTAGGCGAAGGTGGGACTGCTTTGGCCCTGCCCCTTGGCTGGAGTTTCACCTGGCTGCACTTGGGGAGGGTAGGAGGCAGCTTCGCCCAGCTGTCTGTGCCCAGGTGTGCTGCCTGGCTCCTCGCCCAGTCCTATGCACGCAGCATGGAAATCGGGGAGCCCGGAAGCCAGGGGCTTTCTCCTTGAAGCCTGGAGTGAGGTGGATGGAGGCGAGTTGCGGTGGAGGCCAAGGAGTGACGCTGTCCCTGCCGGTCCCCTGGGAATGAAGTGGGAGTCGCTGGGGTCCCTCTGTTCCCAAGCTCTGTGATCTGCGTGGCGTCTGCTTCCCGCCTCATAAGAGGAGCTGCCGGGGGCGAAGGGGGGGTGGTGCCTTCTGCCTTGCTTTGGAGAACGGCCGGGGGATTTTCTGTTTAGGGACCATGGGGGCGAAGAAGGAGACAGCGGCATCGTCATCCCTCTGCCACCTGCCACTCGGGATAGCTTTGCTGGTGCTCAGCCTCGTCCCGCTTGTGCCCGCACTGGCCACCACTGGCAGTAAGTTTCCCCAGCCTGGCTAGCAGGCCTCGAAAGTCCGCGCCTGGGTTGCCGAGAGAGGCGAGACTGGCTGGCGGGGGGTGCGCAGCCTCAGCAGAGTCTCTCCCGGTGGAGGCTGTGAGGGATGGGACAGGTGGGTGACCCAGAGGCGAGGCTTAAGGCAGCGGGCTGGGACTGCAGACGCAGTGAGGGGCTAGTGGATGGAGCACGAGGCTGGTGGCCAAGAGATTCTGGCTCCTGTTCTCCGATCTGCACCTAGCCTGCTCCATGACCTTGGGCAAGTCACATAAGAGCGGCCATGCTGGGTCAACCCAATGGTCCAACTAGCCACTAGTCTGTCTTCGGTGCTTCAGAGGGAATGAACAGAACAGGGCAATTAGCGAGTGATCCATCCCCTATCGTCTGGTCCCAGCTTCTGGCAGTCTGAGGTTTAGGGACACCCAGAGCGTGGGGCTGCGCCCCTGATCATCTTGGCTAATAGCCATTGATGGACCTATCCTCCAGGTACTTATCTAATTCTTTTTTTAACCCAGTTATGCTCCGGGCTTTTACAACATCCCCCGACAATGAGTTCCACAGGTTGTACATGTTGGGTGAAGAAGTACTTCCTTCTGATAGTTTTTAAACCTGCTGCCTAGTAATTTCATTGGGTGACCCCGAGTTCTTGTGTTCTCTGTGTCTGTTTCCCGTCTCACATGTGTCTTTTGAGGTTGTAAGCTTTCCTGGAGGAGGGATGGCCTCTTGCTATGTGTACGGGCCGGACCCAGCACAACGGGGCTCTAATTCTAGGTGTGACTGTAATACAAATAGCAAAATAATAATGGGACTCAGGAGAGTGGGGGCCAGTTCCCAGCTCTGCCACTGACTCTGTGTGACCTTGGTTAAGTCACTGTGTTGCTCCGTGCCTCAGTTTCCCCATCTGTAAAGTGGGGACAACCATTGTCCATTTGCTGGTCTCTACTTGGATTGTGAACTCTCAGAGGCAGGGACCATCTCTAACAATTGTGTCTGTGCAGCCTCTAATAAAATGGGGCCTCCAGGTCAGCACAGTGAGTTGGATCTGGGACCTCAGGATCGAAAGATGTGTGACCTGCTACAGCCTGAGCTAAAAGAACTCCTGCTGCAGCAGGCTCATCACGCTCCCTCTGTGGTCCAGCCACCACTAGGAGGGAACAAAGTGGCCCACTGACTGAGTGTGAGCTACATTATCCCAAAACCACAGGGCTTTCTGCACCTTCCTTTGAAGGAGCTTGTGCTGGGCACAGTAGGAGACGGGATACCGCGGTAGATGGGCCCCCTGCTCTGAAACAGCTTAGTAATTTCCAGGGTCCTTTGTTGCTAAACACACTGGACTTTCCCCATCAATAAATGCTGATTCCCTCATTTTTCAGGGTAAGGCTGGAGAGGGCAATGGAACAAAGTGTCCCTGAGAAACTGGCTATTTGACTTCAAAACACAGAGACCTCCAGGCTCTGGAGCAAAAAAGGAACAAGCAGGAGCTTTTTGGGCAGGGTTGGGGGCGGGTAGCTGCTTATTTGGTTTCTTAATGGGCTTTTGACTGGTGATGAGAAGTTGATCCTGAGGGGTGGGGAAAACAGGAGTTCAGGCAATAAATAATTCAGATTTGCAGAGAGTCATGGAAAGAGACGTGAAAGTGGAAAATTGTAGCTAAGGGGGCTGGAGGAATTAAAACAAATACATCAGCGGGGCTGTGATCAAAGGCAATCATTTAACCCCTGCTCTTCACGCTAAGCCCGATGCAATGAAATGGCTCGTAAAGTGAGGCTGCTCAGAGAAAATCCAAAAATGTCCCATGGAGATGTGGGGAGCAAGCGGGTATGAGAATGGCTATTTCTGGGCATAGGGACTGGAAAGAGAAGCCAATGCAATCCGGGAAAGACCCCTGAGCTCTGCTAGAGTGTGGCCTGCAGGCTGAGATCAGGGCAGTGGGAATCTAGACACCTGGCTTCTAGGTCCGGCTTTTCTGTGCCCTCTCTGGCAAGTCCTGTCCCCTCCCAGTGCCTCAGTTTCCCCATCTGTGTAACGGGAATAACGATGATAACGGGGAATGATACTGACCCATCTTGCAGTGGGGGGAGGTTGAAGTAATAATGAGAGGGTGGGAAGCCCTTTGAGAGCCTCAGGGGGATGAGTGTGGAA